AAGTAAACAAAGGTGATTGTTTATTGATCGAAAAGTCATTTAAAAGGTATTTAGAACAGTCAAGTGTCACTCGATTTATAGTATATCAATTGTACACTCCCCTCCATAAGTTTGGCAACCTTTTTTCCCCCATTGAACTACGTGTTAAAGCCTCTTTACCTTTGAATTTTTATTTACTTAACCTGCGATGAAAATACTTATACTATTACAACAGTTTACTACTATTTAGATCGCGAGATAGTAAGCAAAGGAGTTCAATTGGCAAACGGTCGAATCAATGGAAAACGTGATCGTGAAAATATTGTAATTCTCATGACTGAACTCACTCATTTCAACGTTTTCGGAGAATGTATGTAAAGTTCAGATAAGATGAAGACATTTTTAACCCTTGATCCCGAGGGCTATAAGGCAACTCGGGAGATAAAAATTAAACTGTCCAACTGACTCCTTAGTATAACTTCATTTCCGCCAAATGAAAAATGAATCGAAAAAGAACTAGTGAGGACCCGTTGTGACAATCATCATGACGTCTTATTTAATAAATGAGTTAATAAATATGTATTTTATATTATTTACACACGGGATAAAAGGTATATTTTCAAATATACTAGTAAGTTAATTCTGAAGTATCAAAGAGAGATCTACAGAGAGTAAACTGTTTAGTCTGATGCGTAATCACAATAAATGGCAGACTTGTGGAACCAAAATTTAGCATTTTATTGTATATATGCACTAGATCTTATATATTTAATATTTTTGTGTTAAGCGAGTGCATTTATTGCCATCAAAATTTACTTTTCGGTTCGCCGTAATTTAGAAACTTTGGACTTTATAGTTAAGCCAACTTGTAAATTTTGGGGTTAATTGGCAATGTAGTTAACCAAAGTCCCATCTCAACAACACAACTACGCAAGTTTCAAAGTTTCTGGATGATCAAGTGATCGAACCAATGAACATATGAAGTTAACATTATACTATTTACTGACAAAATGTGGATTTCATAATGGTCAATATCCTATAGCTATCTTCCGATGGATCAAACAATTTTATAAGGTTTGCCAATGGAAACCAATATAAAATTTGAAGTAAAAGAAAACTCCAAAGACGATTGTTTGAATTACGTATAATATTGAAATTGATTCATCAAAATAGCCAATAGACTAGGTGCGAGTAGAAATAATCTTGATTTACGTCATTAAAAATTGAAAATCCAGTCAAACTGATGTCATATTTGGAATCTACATGTAAAATTACATCTAGAAATGTGGTTTTGAAAAGAGTTTATCAACTTTGAAAATTTAATTTTCTTTAGGTCGGGGAGATTCCCCATAGATCCCATGTTGTAAAATCACAAAAAGTGGAATATCTTTTCTTGTGTTGGGCAGATAACATTTTCCTTTACTGGACATATTTTAATTTGTATAACTATCAGATACATAAGGGTAATATGAAAAGTGAACCACTAAAACTGATGAAGGGTTTGTAATACCCTGCCATGTTATTTCCCCCGAATCAGCCACCTGGTGGCGAAACTGGTAACTACCTACTCGCATCTGAGTAATTCCATCAAGCACAGAGTGAAATATAATATATCTCAGTTTAAATCCATGACTTGCGAAATGGTCATCTTATACTCGCAAGGTGTTTAGATTATATAACTGAAACAATGGTAAAGATTAAAATTTCAAACTTCAGGTTTCATGCGCATGTTGATCAATATCTTATCGCCTATATTTATTTACAATAATATTAAAAATAGTCAAAATTTAAACACAGCTGAATGGTTCATGTTAAGAGCGATGGTATTTGCTATTCCAGTTACTCAGATCAGCTACTTGGAAGCATTCGGTTGTGAACTGATGTAAATAATGTTTGTGGTAACCTTGAGTAAAAGTAAACAAAGGTGATTGTTTATTGATCGAAAAGTCATTTAAGAGGTATTTAGAACGGTCAAGTGTCACTCGACTTAGTATATCAATTGTATGTAAGGCATTAATGTATTGTTTTGTTTTGTTTTATTCGAATAAATCATTTTTTACAGCAATTACAACCTACTTAGTCATACCAAAAAACTTACGAATGGTCACAAAACATTTTTTGTCATTAGGGGATGTGTTAATTTGTTTTGAAACGCTATTTATATTTTGAACGTTTTTTCTGTCAATGAGTCAAAAAGCTAGCTAGGATTTCAAAGTGGGAGGATGCAGTGAGACAATATGTATGTCAACGAGGCAATTTTTGTAAACGAGGCAAGAAATCGTCGATGTATAAGTTGGCGAGGCTAACATTTTGATCGTTTGATATATTGCATATGGCAAACGAGAAAAGCTAGTCTTATACGGCACAATCATAATGTAACACATAGCTTGGCAAGGTGTGTCCGATTCTAGCCAATCCTAACAGAGTGTTTCACATGACAGCAGTGCATGAAATAATCAATAACGCACTTGTGCATGGTTACCAAGGTGAGGAGATGTTGTGATGTTTTGCCAATACTTGACCAATACTTGACCCTTGCAAAAAATGTCATTGAAAATATATCCTTTCAGACTTTGTATATCTTAGAAATTTTTGGAAATTTTCTGAAAAAATGGCCTTTGAAAAAAGTTGTTGGAATTTTCGAATATATAATTTCCCGCCATTTTAGCAGCAAACGATTGACCATCAAATACAACTCTTTGCCTTACAAGACATATTATGTTCTACACTCCATTGGATAGATCAAGTAAAGGTTATAATAATTTAAACATAATATCAACAAATGAATTTAATTTTCAAAGTATGCATTAAATTGTATGGCATTTTTTAAAGTATGTGATGTCATCAGGTTACGCCGTGGTGTCATTTAGGGTGTAAAAAATATCTCCAAAATTCATCAATTCTTTCTCCTCTAAATCTTTTCTACATATGCTAATTTTTGAAAATAAAACAATATTAAAGCCCTATATTAGTTGAAAATAAGTGTTTATCATGTTTAAAACATTTCTGCACAATTGGTCTCAACGAGAATTTACATTTTTAAATGTATTTTTCTCTGGGCCACTTTTTTGCGCTTGTGAGCTCATTTCTCTCTTATTCTTTAACCAGCAATTTCCTTAATTTTTCAACATAAAATAGATTGGGACGTATGCTATCCATTGGTGTGAATTACTGCTTATTAATATATGCTGGTGAAAACAAATGAAAATATTTGAAATAAATTCAAAATCCATTGGAACAAAAAGTCCTTCAAAATCACCATTTTGAAATTGAAAAGAGATTGAAAAGTTTCACTTATCGTATTTTGATAACAATGAGCAAGACTATAATATAAGTAAAAGTGGTTTAAACTGTATATGGGGTCTTTAACCAAATGCTACGTTACAAGTCTGTAACAAGTTACACACTACTATACCTAACACCTAGAAATGCATAAGATACTTTGTTTGTCTAATTGAATTGTTTAATATATTTTTGAAAGTGCCTTACTAGCATCTAATTTTCAACCGATAAACCATTAATAAGGAACAGACAAATAAAAACAAATATATAATCATTACTAATAAGCCAAATTCGTTGCTCATGAAAGCCGAATGCAAGGTATAGTAGAGTGAGTTATATGTATAAAAATATTAAGTGTTGTTTTGATTTCAAATTGCGACAGACAGAACTCTCTAATTGACCTATAACTGCCATCTATTTTTCTTTTTCTTTTGCAACAAAATAATGAAAGTAAATGAACTACTGCACAAATAAAATTGGAACTTTATTTATGAATAGCGTAATCTTTATAATTATCTAATTGTATAGTCAGTCACAATGTATAAGGTAGTTCAAAGGCCCTGAAGTAATGCATAATATAGAACCATTGTTCTGTGGAGGCTCAGTGGTGTCAGATTGATTGAGGACCAAAACACATAATAGCCTAATAAAGATATGTTTGATGGGTCACAATTCACAATGGCACAAAATGAGTTTGGAAAACATTGAAGTGAAACAGACAGTTATTTTTGGTAAATGGAATACATGTCTTATGGATTATCATTGCCTGACATAAATGGTGCGGAATAAAAACCCTCGGATCACATATATTACAGTTTATAAAACACTTCTAGTCGGGTGGGAAAATAATGTCACATAAAAGGAGGATCAAAAATGCTGCGTACTTAACACCATACCATTTTACATCTTTCAAAAAAATATAAAGAAGGCCAATTCACTAGTATTTGGCCCGGGTTATGTTTTAAACCAACGGGCCGACATATGAAGGTTGACTGACTGTAATAGCTCAGCGTCTGAGCTAAAAGCAATGAGTATTACATTAATTTTTTTGATATCTATGGATTCAAACTTATTTTTATGTGCACTAAGCAATGGATGATGATAATGATAAAAAATTATGTAGGCTATTTAACAAATGTATGGTCATTAGTCATTTTGACAAAAAAGTTTCGTAATAATGGATTTTTTTGGTGTAACACAGACACAAAATTCGAATACCTTACTATGTAACATACATAACATAGTTAGTCTATAACATAGTCTATCATCAAATATATTTGCGAACTTAAACATCCTCATGAATGTGATGGGACACGGATCACATCATGCTCATTGGGTGAAAAGTGAAATGGTCAATGGGGAATAATCATATAAAGTTAAATGGTTATCTTATAAATAACAGACTAAATCATGTTAAATAATAAAATGTAATTTATTGCAATCATCATCATGTTAATAAAATGCATGCTTGATTGACTTAATGTTTGCATTGCTCATAAAATAATAAATATAAATAATATATAAAAGTGCCCAATAAGGGACATTTCTCTCGGTCAGGTCCTGTTCAAAGTATTCATATAAAATGACCCAGATTTATTTTTATTATGTACAAATCAACAAACATCACTTTTGGGTTGCATGATCTTGAACACGTGAATAATTTGTAAAATGTTCGACCGATTGAATATGAAAATATTTGAACAGGCCTATAACGCAGTACAGGCCTTCGTAAGCATGAAGATCTTTTCACTGTTCACGTCGAAGAATAACAAAGATTATTAGTCCGAATTATTCAGTCAACAGAGTACAGCCATTATGTATGTACATGGAGTATGGATTGCTATGTATAGAGTATGGTCGACCGCCTTTTTATTGACAGCATCCTTTAGTGCACGTGCATTTCCCGTCCGCATCAAAGCAGGTATCTCTGCAATCACATTCTTTGCCTACAAATACACAAGAAGACATAATAAGAAACAGTAAACGTTGTCATGCCGAAAAGTAGTCAGTAGTGTCCAATCAAAGGCCTAAATACGAAATTAAGAAGTCTTTATGACTTGTTGAAGTACAAAATAAAACATTTCATATCAAATTCTGCCTTTGACTCGTTATTTTGACATCACCTAATAAATCGAGCAATGTACCAATCAAAAAGAGTAAACACATAACACTATTAAGTACTATTGATATTGCACTAATAGGTCACAGTGACTTTAACATGATCACAAGCCATTAACATGCAAAATGTAGCCACCTGCCATTTGTTACAGCGCCAGCCACTTGTGACGGTGACATAAAACATAGAATAACGTAAAGTAAGAACAGAAGAGCAACAGTAAAAAGAAAATACAGAGGAATAATGACAAATACAACCAACCTAACAGTCGATCGCGAGCTTTGCTAGCTCTTGAAGACTGGTTAAGTAGATAATCAAATGGCAAACGATTAATCAAATGATTCAACCTCATGTATGCTTACATTTGTCACAGGGACAGCCATCTCCAGTAGTGACTTTCTTGGTTGGGCAGTCGGCGCATTTACAGCTACCTGCGCAGCAGCATGTGCCCTCAGTGCATTTGCAAGCTAAAACACACAATCAGTCTAAATTAGATCATTGTATAGTAATTAATCTCGCAATAATAACAATTAATATGAAATCATTATGAAATTAATATAAAAATTAATTGGTTTTACGTGGGTTTTATGGGAGTAAGTCGGTTGTTCAAAGGTAGATAGTCAAATACCAAGCAAGGGGTAGTCAGTAGTATCAAATCAAAAGCCTAAATACAAAATTAAGATCTAGAAGCCTTTATGACAAAGGACCCATTGTGCATCGCTGTCTAATCAATTTAATTGATGCGTCAATAAACAAGAAACACCCGCAGTGAACCTGATTGTAATAGATCTCCTCAACCATGTCCACTAAAAAATGATGCTATAAACTGGAAACTAAAATCGTAATGTTATCTTTAATGGAGAGTTGATAAGAATTTTACTACGAACTCATGGCAAATACTACAGTGTTTACATCGCGAACGCTTAGACATTCACAAGGCGTTTGATCGAATTTGCCAATGATTGTTGTATACGCTGTTAGAGTGGTACCAAACCTTTACAAGCGCACTGTTAGGTCTGCTATTATATCTTCAATGGAAAAGTAAAGCCATAATTTTGCGAAATTAAGAACGATTCGGATTGTAGAAAAAAGTTTGAGGGTGATAAGAATCTCTTGATTTAAGCCAATAGTATATATCTTTTCTATTGTTATAACTGTGCCCATTTTAATAAGACTTGTGCCAGCGCCTATCTTTCAATTCTGTCATGTTTTAAAAGTAACTTATTGTAGTGTCTATATAAACAATGTTTGATAATTTTAAAATTTGTTTGATAAGTATAACATCAATATTGCCAATATGTTTAGGAATGAACGGTTTTGCTAATACCAACAGCATAATTTTATTCAATAGTGGATAGCATATCATTATTGATTTTTTTACGAATTATGTGCCACGTAACATGTTGATATCATATCATAAAAGGTTGCTGTGATTATAAATTGTTATATGCGAATAAAAGAGTTAACGCTATATATAATATTTCATTTTCTTTGAACGCATCATCGATATCAAGACATTTTGTTCATTAATTAGTTGTCATATCGACCGCTTGCAATATTAATACGTTTACTTACCATCTTTGCATGTAGTGCATGTACATGGATCAGGCATGATTGTTGTTGTTGTGTTGTTGTTGGTGAATCAACGGAAAGGTTGTAGTCTTAGTCGATGTCTTGGAGAATAATCAGTGCTTGGTAATCCTCGCAAAGTCCAATTAATATCAATTTTTGCACACGACATGGCGATTTTTTCAAAACGGCGCTGTTTTCATTTTTGCACTCGGCACTGATTACACACGGCGCTGTATGAATGAGTATGGCAAAGTAGGCTGTAGTAAATGAGTAATACAGATACAGGGTGTCCATTTCTGTTACCGTTTCGATTTCCGTTTGCCTATATTTGTATGAAATTCATGCAGAGAATGTCTTTAAATGTGGCAGTCCCGCCATATATTCTGATAAATATGCTCTCATTTTGTGATTTTTTCACATATCCTTCGGTCCTCTCATTTTTCAGAAGTGAAAATTATGGAATTACAAATACAATGCTTAAATATTATAGCTATATCTTAAATTGATTTTGAGATAAGGTTGCCACGGTTACCTGTATTTAGGGTAAGCTGGTCAGTTCAATTATTACGTATAAAATAGATACATTTGTTTATTTTATCTCGGTTCCTATTTTAAGCAGATCAAACGCATCTTCATGCCATTGCCAACTATTCCATGAACTATTCGATACCCCTGTTTGCTAATTTCCACAGTGGGATAGTTCTCCCTTCATAAATTGCATCTGAAATTATCATAGTGTTATTCTTATATAGTGTTGTTCATAAGCCTACCAGATTTTGATCAAATCTTCAACAGTAACCATGCCTTCCTCAAATTTGAAATACTACCTATAGATTCTTGGAACAGATATAACACCTTACCCATACACTCTACGAGTCCATGTACGTCTCTGACGGTGTCCTTTTACTTATTCTTGATAGCACATGAAATCTAATGGTACTCCTAAAGTATCTGTTAATGTCACACTCTGCATCAGCCACACTAACTCATCTGATATTTTGATTTTTGATGTGTCTCATGACATGTAATGACAATTGGCCCATTCTGTTATACATTGCTATAATTGTGAATTGTGCTGTTATAGTGAGTACAAATAAACATTTGTTTAGAAACAAACATCGAGCAACAATACCAAAATTTTTTAGAAAAAATGTATGATTTCCGCATGTTTTTATGATATTTTATACGTTATAATTTAATTGACCTGCCTACCTTTATTTCAGGTTAACATAACATGGCAACCTTATCTCTCTAAAATCTCTCTTAAAATGAGATCAGAATATTTATCAGAATATATGGATCGCCCCTTGTATATTGTTTGAACTTTAAATTGAATGTTTACTGTTTTCTAGAGTGCATACTGCGAATGGGCAAGATGGGATGAAATTTGGCTAGAGACTCAGTAATGTAAAGCCGGTTTCTCATAATTTCTTGACCAGTTGCTCCGAGGAGACCTTAGCAATTTTTATGAATATCTGGGATTGATTCTTACCTTTTGTCAACTTAACATCGATTGTACTTTGATAAATGGCGTCATAAAATGTATCATTGCGAGGTTTCATCCTATAGTTCTTTGGCCAGTACTGTGACCGTAGAAATTCCGCGATAAAGAGACGAAAAGTAACGTCTGGGTTACAACCATGCATACATATTGGTTCATAGATATTCTTATAAACTGAAACCAATCCATGATCATGAAAACGGTTCAACCCACTTTATACATTGTAATCAGTAAATAAAATGGAAACTTCTCTATACTTTTTGTTACCCTGTAGTATATAGTGTCCTATCTGAAGTATGACACGTATATTGATAGAAAATTTCCATGGTGGGTTATAAAACTTAATCAGTGTATTATTATTGATTTAAACTGATTTGAGTCTGAATTTTATGACAATGAATAATTGTGCAATTCAAATAACTCCGACGATTCTAGAATGTTATCAAATCGGGATTGCCTGTGGCCATGATATTTGAATTGTCAATCGCCATAGATGTCCGTGCTGATAAGATACACGTAAAATGCATCGTGGGATTTAAAAGCACTAATCAGTGTAATTAACAAATGTGGCAACCCAACAAATTATGTAATGGTTATTAAAAAATGCGTGTTGATTCTCAAAATTTCGTTTTGTACTCACAATGCACATCCCGTATATTTTAAGCTAACGGCCGAACTACAAAGGGGATGGGGGTGAATTACATTTTATTTAAAATCATGTAAAAGTACTTGTCTTTATTTTCTGGGTGCCTACGCTGTAAATCTGAACGAAAAATAGTAATCCAATAACAAGCCAAGTAATAAAAATAACATTTTGATTCATATTTGCGTGATCATTTACTGAAAATATAAATATTGATGACAAAGATTTGTAATATCTACTTAAAAAAATGTGAATACAATTCCACGAGTATGTTAAATTTGATTGATAGAATAATGTTTAATTATAACGATGACCTTTATGTAATAACACGTGTACGTAATCGTTGCCCTTTGATATATATGTGTTTGTGGGTGGGGGAGGGTAATTCCCAAAATGTTCGATTGTTTATTCAAAAACAGACTGCGGGGGCTATGTGTAATCCTCCATCGGGGCTAACGTTTACTCTCGTGATTTCGAAATATCTAAAACATGTATTTCCGAATGGACACCCTCAGGCCATCAATCTGGAAATTGTTGCCCAGCTAGTTACTTTAAAAATTTCGAAACACTTTTATTTGAATGTGTCATGTTTGAATTGAAGAACCATCCATCGAATTTAAGTAATTTAAACAATACAACTATATGTAGGCCTAGCCATGTTGTATTCATTCTGTGATAATTAAACGTAAAATTGATAAAACTGCAAAAAAAGAAAACCCATTATTTAATTCGAGAACATTGAAGTTCAAGTTATGCCTGGGTCACATTTGCTCCGATTCATCGGCCGGCGCCCGGCCGATTGAGTATCCTGTTCACAAGAATACTCAATCGGCCGGGCGCCGGCCGATGAATCGCAGCAAATGTGACCCAGGCATTAACAGTATGAATGAACTTGAAATCACTTCAAAGTTTTCAGGAGAGTGCATTTTTAAGTTCAGTTCAGATAAGCTAAAGACATTTTTCTTTCTAGCTCCCCAGGGCCTTCTTCATCATGAGAAATCATGGCCTTCTATTTGCTTCTCTCGAAGTTGAAGACTGAAAGATATAATGAGTATCAGAATGGGCCTTCTTAGGCAACTCTGGCGAAAAAATTAAACTGTCCAAACAGACTCTCCTTACTACAACTTCATTTCCGTCAAATAAAAAATCGAAAAAGAACAAGTGAGAATCCGTTGTGACAGTCATTATTATTTAATAAATGAGTTAAAAATATGAATTTAATGTTATTTACACAAGGTTATAAAAGGGATATATTCTAGACAATGTAAGTCAATGGTTAAGTATCAAAGTTAATGGATAGAAAAACTTAGGTAAACTGATCAGTTTGATGAGCAGCCACAATATATTACTGACTTGTCGTACCAAAATTTTGCATTTCAATGTACATATGCACTAGATTTTGTTTATCTTATAGTTTTGGTGCATTTATTAAAGTCGACATTTAAGGTTGGTCTTCCTGAGAATATTTTAACTTTAATTTAATTTAATTTTAATTTTTTTTGTACCGTCCTGGCGTTAGTTACCTATATTCAGCCTACCTTAACACTAGACTTAACACATCAACAACAAAAGTTCACAAGTTCCAAAGTCTGCGAATAATAGAACTGTCGACCCCATGAGAGACATTTTTACAAATATTTAGGGTCAATATCTAAAGGAAAGGGATGACAGTCTCAAGACGATAATGTTGTAAGGGAACATGGGGCAAAGCGGCCCAAAAAATTTCATTTTAAGTTGTTCTGTACGGGGTATTTTCGTATCTGTCAATCATCGCGCACTTTGATGTTCCACTTTATTAATGTAATGGTTTGTGGTTTACATTTTTCGAGTGTTTTATACTTTCCTAGGACTATCTTCTGTGATTTTTCAATGGTCAAAAATATTGTCGAGAGTGGGGCAAAACGGCCCATGGGTGGGGCAAAACGGCCCACCCTCTGTTACATGGGTTTTGAAACCAAAATAAATCAATTACAAGACTCGTCCACAAACATCTTATCTCAGACGTTCAAACCTTTGACAGATAAAGTATTTGACAGATAAAGTATTCTATTATCTAACATGTTGATATGCTACACTATTTCTATTTCATGGCATGATATGATATCATCTTACTTGATATGCTACATTAATGGGACTTTTTATATATTCAAATGATACTGATTGCTATGACATGATATCGTATTATCGAAAATGATATGCTTCATTAATGGGACTTGATATATAGTCAAATGATACTGATTTCTATGATATGATATTATCACACATGACATGCTACAGTATTCCTATGACATGATATGATATTATCTAATATGATATGCTACATTAATGGGACTTGATATAAAGTCAAGTAATACTGATTTCTATGACATGATATGATATTATCTTACAATTACATGATATGGTACATTATTTCTATGACATGACATGATATTATCTAATACAATATGCTACATTAATGGGACTTGATATATACTGATTTCTATGACATGATATGATATTATCTAATATGATATGCTACATTAATGGGACTTGACATATAGTCATGTGATACTGATTTCTATGACATGATATGATATTATCTTACTTGATATGCTACATTAATGGGACTTGATATATATTTTTTAAAATAATACTGATTGCTATGGCATGATATAATCGAATATGATATGCTACATTAATGGGACTTGATATACAGTCAAGTGATACTAATTTTCATGATATGATATTATCTTATATGATATTCTACATTATTTTTATGACATGATATTACATTATCTTACTTGATATAAGTTGAAAAGTTGTACATAAAATTGTTGCTTTCAAAGCACACTTATCACTCTGTTACTAGGCACCAAGTCCAAATTACGATATGATATAGTATGCAATGATGAAGCTTTACATGCTTATTTGATGGTAAGGCTCTGTATG